GCTGGTCATCGATCAGCTCATTGGCCAGGTGTCTGCAGTTCCGGGTTGCAGTCTGTGCGGGTCTCTTATTGGTGACGGTTGGGGATCTAGGTACTCTGGTTACGTTCACTGGAAGGCGCAGCGGACTCTGCTGAGTTTTCTTCAGGTTGCTTCGGTCGTCGTCTCCAATGGTGGCGAGGCTTCTCTCGAATGGCCACAAGACTCCTCGTGCTGGTTGCTTCCTGAGGTTCAAGCCTTCGAGGATCAATTCAGCTTTCGTAGAGTTTCGTTCAAGGGTTGCGCTCTAGGTATGGTTTCAACGTCCGGAGCTCCTTTTGACGCTCCGTGGCAGATCATAGCTTCGAGCAAGCGTATGACCGAGAACTTCTCAAACCTTTCAGGTGCACTCATGCTTCAAACGTCAAGCATTGTTCACCGAGTATGCTTTGGCCACGGGTAGCTTACTATCCTGAGGCATTCCACAAGGTGTTGCTCATGTCGCTGTTCCCTTTTGCCGAAGCGTTTCAAACGCCTGCGCTCCCGTGTGTTCCTTTCTTGCCGCAGCTCCATCGTGAAAAGGATACCAAACCCAAAGTTCCTCTTGATGTTCTTACGCACGAGTCTGGAGTGAAAGAGGTTAAGCTTCCGGGTTTAGTTCACCGTCTTCTCGATAGGAAAGAATGGTCGGGGCAACCAGGGGCCTATGAGGCGATTAAGAAAGAGAAGGATGGCCTTGTCGGTGTTGGAACATGGCTTGAAGAGGAGATAGTTTCGAAAAAGGATGTTCTTGCATGGGCCACTAGGACTTCTAATGTGATCCATTTCGGAAATTTGATGGTCATTTTATCCGTGAAAGGGTCTGAGCTGAGTCCAGATCAGTGGCGACTCAAGGCAAGAATCGTCTTTAGAGGTGATGACATCCGGGACCAATCCGGCATGTCTGCTGTCTTTGAGGAGCTATCCGCGTCATCTCCATCCTCTTTGGAAGGATTGAACACAGCGGTGGCTTTCGGTTTGCTGGAGTCCCACGGTGTGACAACAAGCGATGCTGTTCGAGCCTACACACAAGCTAAGCTCAAAACAAAGCACCGCACATACGTCCTTCTACCTCCCGAGCTTGTCCCACCTGACAAGAAGCATATCTTCCAACCCTGTGCGCCCCTCCACAAAGCGCTTTATGGGCATCCAGAAAGTTCCGCCTACTGGCAGCAGCATCTTCACGAGATACTGTTGAAGCTAGGTGGGGTTGAGTTCCCAAATCTCCCTTCGGTTTACTTCTTCAAGTCCCTAGGCCCTAGGATTAGTCTTATGCGTCTACGTAGACGATTTGACGCTGTCTGGACGTCGGTCGCTGCACGATGGCTTTTGGCGCTCCCTCTCGAAGGAGGTTGAGCTCGAGCCGTATGCAGCCCTGTCCAGGGTCCTTGGAAGATGCCACAGATTCGTTTGCTGGCAAGAAAAGAAAGCACTAGCACTTGAATCCGCGGATTTCGCGAAACAGTGCGTTCAATTGTACGAGACTGTGTGTTCGCTAACGGTTAAACCCCAGCTTACTCCTCATCTCGACATCAGCACCCTACCTGCAGCAGACGACGATTGCCGCGGAGAACTCACCGAAGCCGCAGCGAGAATCTTAATGAAGGTGTTATGGCTTGCAAGGTTAAGTCGTCCTGACTTGATCGTTGCAGTCACAACACTTGCATCACACGTCTGCAGCTGGTCCAAGAATGATGACCGTCGGGCTCATCGACTCATCGGTTACATTCTGCATTCTGTCGATTACGCAATGATCTTGTGTATCAATGATCCTCCTTCCGAATTGCGATTGTCCTTGTACTGTGACTCGGACTTTGCTGGTTGCATAGACACTTCCCGCTCCACGAGCGGTTATGTCTTGGCAGTTGAAGGCCCTTCCAGCTTTGCCTTGTTGTCGTGGTCGAGCAAGCGCCAGAAGGTTGTGTCACGGTCCAGTACCGAGGCCGAGTTTGTCTCGCTGAGCGGGGCTCTCTTTTCTGACACTGTTCCGATGCTAGAAGTATGGGAGTCCTTGATCCCAGACATCAAGCTCCACGTCTATGAGGATAATCAGGCGTGTATCGCCATCGTCCGTAAAGGATTTTCGGCCAAGCTCCGACATCTGGCCAAAACTCACCGTGTTAACGTAGCCGCTACTTGCGAACTCGTTAACCTTAACCCCAACATCTTGCTTTCCTATATCAACACGGACAGTCAGAGAGGGGATCCTCTAACAAAGATCCTACCTCTGCAAAAATGGGCACGGGCTCTCGAACTCCTTTCGATTGCCACCGTTCGCCTTCCGGACGTGGACTGAGTAAATCAAGATTTAGGGTTTCGTAGTCTGTTGAGCTGTACTGCGACCTGCACTTCATCAAACGTTGTTTATTTGAGTGATTCGAGAAGCTGAGCTTCTTTTCACCTGGGCACTTTGCTGAGCATAGCGTCTGAAGATGTCGTGACGCCTTCTTCGTCAATGTGTTTCTCTCTCCGTTAGGCTGCTCATGCGCCACGAGAGGAGCATCACACGGGGAATCAGCGGTAGGTCAGAGCCATTGCTTCCTCGAGTTCAAATTAATCTGGAGACTGATCACCTCCATCATGCATTGTATAGCCTGTCAAGCTTCTATAAATCAGAAGGGGGGAGTTGAAGAATCTCGAAGATCCTCCATGTAAAGTTTGTCTGATTATGTAGAGTGATGCCAACGACTTTGCACTTTTGGCTCAAGATGAAAAAGGGCGAACTTGAAGTTTGCTCTGCGTTCAGGGTCGGGGTCCTTGCGTTGGTTTCCCTTCCCTTCCCTTTCGTTCCTTACCCTAACATAGCTGTGTCTCTGTTTGGGATCGGAATAACTTCTTGCAGCTGAAAGACAGCAGGTGATTTGTTCGGAAGGTTTTTGCCGATCAACCCCAACAAGAGAGACAGGTAAATTGATGTGATGCAGACCGTCTGCACCGTTTGACGTGATTTAGTGAAGCCGGGGAGTTCCAGTCAAAGTGCACGAGATGTGCTGGTAAACTGCAGTTCGGGAGAGGTTGCACCGGGTCCACGTGAGGGTTGGGGCCCCGGAGGCCGCACCAAGGCATACACAGTGGGTTTCTCCAGGCTCTGGAACGTCTTGGGCTCCACCTTCAGCTTCCACCATCCAAGCAGCTCACGGCAGCCAGGGGGTCGGCACGAGTAGGGTCTACCGTGCATGGCATGGCGAACGGACGGCAGCAGCCATCAGAGCATTCCAGCGCGAAAGATGCGGATGATTCGAACGATTCAATGAAGCAGGCGTGCGGGGGTTCATAATGGCAATTGCAACGATACTCGTCGCGACGGCGTGTGTGATGCTCGTGACAGATGTCGGATGTGATTGAACATGCCAGGCACTTGGAATCTTTGACGCACGGAGACATATGCAGGACCCCGGCATCGGAAGCTCGGTTCCCTTCTTTCCCCCTTTTTTCTGTGCCTTGTCTATGCAGCTTCACTCTCGATTGAGATATGGAAACGGGCGGACACCACACGTGAGAAGGGCGGGAGGCCAAAACACGTGACATCGTGTTGTTGCATGTTCTCCACTAGAAATAGCCCATGGACGGCCCAGCAGCAAGGATATACCATATTCAGAGCCACAAAGGGGTACTTGTGGAGGCACGGTGGCGCAGCGAAAGCGGTTTTTGCAACGTGATCACTGTTGGGTCTTGGAATGCCCACATGCATCCACGAGAGCCGCCCGACTCGTGTTTGCATGACGTTGCTCTCCGAAGTTGGGATGCAGCTCAGCCTTGTACAAAGAAGGCAACCGAAAACGAGCCAAGGCGAAAAAACGAGACGCTTGTATATTTTGTCTGAACAAGCAGAAACCTAGTAAGAGAAAAAGCAGCTTGGCAATTAGCATTTCGCGGCGCTAATGTCGAACTCCTCAAGAGCAAGAAACGATAGTTTAAGCCACCAGTAAGAAGTGAACTAGGATAGGTCGGTGTTGTTGGGCTCGTTTCGGAAAGCCTTACGCGTTGGAAAAAAGGGCGAAGTCCTTAACCGGGGGCAAGGTCCATTCGAAGTCCAAGTAGGAGAAGCTGGACAAATACGAGTGACGAGTGGGAACATCGTTTGGTTGTTATCATGGGAACCAGGTTGGCACAACCTGTTTGGCGCGCCGGACTCTCGGACCATGGACCCTTGCTGGTGGGAAATACAACCAGTCTATGACCAAGCCGCAAGCAAGGGAAACCGGAAAAAAGACAACTTCTTGAATTTTGTGGGTTGTGGCGGGGGTGCCGAGGCCGTGGACGGGCACAAGTGCACGGGGCAGCTCTCGGTGCCGAGCGTTCGCGGAGGGACGCGGCATGACGCGGCCGTGGACGGGGACGGGTGGGGGAGCTCTGGGTGTGGAGCGTCTGCGGGAGGACGCGGCCATGCCCAGCGTTCGCGGGAGGACGCGGCCGTGGACGGGGACGGGTGGGGAGCTCTGGTTGTAGAGCGTTCGCGGGAGGACGCGGCCGTGGACGGGGACGGGTGGGGTGCTCTCCCTCATGCCTAAAGAACCGTCTGGTTTTTTGGGTTCCCGGCTTGACCTTGTTTAATTTTGTGGGTTGTGGTGGTGCAACCATTGAGACATAACCCAAGAGGGCTTGACACCGTCAGAATGCTGCAGGAAGTATGCCGCCCAAAACAAAAATGAAGTTAAAAGGGTCTTAAACAGTGAAATAAATGGTTTATGGTGGAAAATCCCTTTTGGCGTGCTGTGGGCAAGTTTTGCAAAGGTAGGCTGAAATGCTTTGCGAAGCAGGGTTGCAGGCTTACGAAGGTTTTGCAAGTAGGTTGATTTCTTGAGCAGTTCGGATCGATTCGGCTGACTAGCTGACACTTAGAGAAAAAGGGAGTTGTAACACCCCTTGGTCTCTTCGCAACCGAGCTCGATGCCAAAAGAACAAACACCTCGAATTGGAAAAGACGAAAGACAATGAGAGAAGCATAGTTGAGTCCTGGACAAGGCTGCCTGGGGGGCGCGGGCATGTCGGTCGGTTGCCTGCCGGATCGTACTGGTACTGGTCGCACGTCCGCTCAAGGAAACGGTGCCGACTTCGTCGTGTATGTGAACACCGCTCAGGCCTGATGGTCAAAGCAGTCAGTTGGATTGTGCTGCAAGGGTTATTACTGCTGTTTCAAGGAGATGTTTTTCACAGTGTGAGCTGAGTGCCGGGGGTTGGTTGTGGTCTCCGTTTGTTCAAGAAACAAGGATATCGCAGTTTATATCATCGGCAACGCAGGAATGAAATACATACATGGCGAGCATCCACACGCGGGTCACCCAAGCTTGATAAAGCTTTCGCCAGCAGCAGCGGCCACCGAGGAGTTCGATGGCTCGGACAGTGGTGCACGCCCCGACGAGGCAGTGAGCTGGGGAAAGATCCGGATGGACGCCAGGCCGGTGAAGGCGGGACCGAAGTTGAGCGCCTTCTGTGGCTTTGTATGTTAGTCCATGTCCTGGCGATGAGCCATTGACATTTTTCGTACCGGCGGCTGGCGCGTGTGTGTGGGTGTATGTGTTGTGTGTGTGTGGTACTGGGTTTCCAAGATCATGTTTCTTTCATCGTGACAGGAGCTTGTTCTTTTCCTTGAGTGCTAGGGAACGGCCGGTTCAGCGAAGTGGTAGTCACAGGGGCTATCGCCGTTGCTCTGGAGTTCGTGTGTCGCCATTGTCAGGTTTATGCGGAAGCTACTCTGGTTGTCCCGCTGATTGTGGCGCAGACGTTTGCAGCGCGGTGATCGGCTCAGCAGAGGATGCTGCTGGAGTTATTGAAAGAGGAGCTTGTTGCGGTATCTGCACGGCCCGAGACACAGGAAATGTGCAACTTGCTTTGAGATTTTAAGGTTGCACAGGGGACAATGGCAACCCCACGATAGCATCTTGACAGCAAGTCACTGCTCCAGTGTCGAAGCAGCATGCGATTGCAGATTTCCGGAGTTCCGTGGTTGCAGAACCGCATGTGTTCAGAAGCAGTACGCGGAAGGCATCTTCAACAAGGCCTTCACTGCATCAGAGTTGGAGCAAGAAAAGAAGAAGGTGTTCCCTGACAGATAGTTTCAACATGATGCAGCGAAGGAAAAGGCTTCAGAGGGTGCTGTCCTTGAGTATAGTTTCTCAGTCATGTGCGGCTGTCACTTATACATGTTGTGTTGTTGGCTTGTGTTTGCTTCTCAAGGCCTTTGCATGCCTTAGCATTACGTCCGATCCATGCTGTCCTGGTCCTGGAAACTAGGGAGTTTTGCCCATATTGAACCAATTCTAATTCTAGCTTCGTGTCTTATGCCAAGGTGACGGTGATGGGTTTGGGATTTGTGGCTTCGAGATTCTGGGGTTCAGAGCCGAGAGCTTCTCGGGGTTCCGCATTCTCTTAGCATTGTCTTTTGCAGCCATGTCTGCAGCGTTGAGGGCCATCTTGCCTCAGCGCAAGTCGGAGACACCTTCCACTGCGTCGACTGTGGCATCGTCATCGTCACCCGAAACTTGGACTTAGACATGATGGCAGATCACGTCGACGACTCGATCTAGATGGCTCTCTGGACCAGTTTACCAGTCGCACAAGCGATGGGTTCATGACTCATATCTCGCTGGCCAGGCACACACGTGTTGAAGTGTCTTGGTTACTGTGCATCCGTTTTGAGCATTTCTTGTGCGCATCAGAGGATCCCATTCCACACACATTTTCTTTCGGGTTTAGGTTTCGCATTACTTCTTTCAGGGCATCTTTTGGTCCTTTGCACTTTCATGGGGGTAAGTAGCTATTGCAACCAAGAAGAACGCTTTGACCCCCAGCTTTCTTCCGGGCTTGTGGATTTGCACTCCATGCTCTTTCTCGGGCGTCGGGGATGCCGTTTCCGCGTCCTGGCGTTTGCCACCCTCCACAAGACAAGGGGCAAGAGGGATGTGTTTCGTGTCCCAAGCTGCGGTCATCTCCGGCAACCGAAGGAGTTCTCGGTTCATGGCACCCTGTCCTGCAAGGATGTGGGTGGAGCCACCGAGACACTGCAAGTGCCTTGCGACCTCTACGGCCTTTTTGCCGGAGTCTCGACTCCTCTGCCTCTATCGCCAAGCAGAGTTTGCTGTGAGTGCAGGTCGCCGAGCCTTTGCAGCTCAACGTCCGGATTGATGGCCGTCCTCCTAGCTTTCGTCAAAGCCCTTGAGAGCCCAGCACTAAGTTGCTTCTTAAGGTTACGTGATCTTCTTCCTGGAGATGATTCGGACGGTGTTTTTTCTGGCGGCTTCCAAGCAGCATGGGTTATGTTGGAGAGGATACATGACAGTCCTAGCTGATTCTGTCTTTTGTATCTGAGGTGAATTTCGGAATCCAGCTGATGTACGTGACACGGATTCACAAAATCAACAGGTCCTCCTGCGGTGTGAAACTTTTTATGTTCAGAACCTTCAGGCATTGGGTAGCAGGTTCCGGTGCCTTTCAACCTTTCTTTGGCATATTATGAAACGTTTAGATCGGCCTTGAGGATGCAGAAGTGTCGCACAGCTCGGCTGTGTAGTGCTCATCAACGATTGAGGGTTTTCGATTCGTGTTCAGCCCCTCACCTCGATGGTACGTACCTACATGATTGAAACAAGCTTCCGTGGTTCAGAAGCCTGATCCGTGGTGGTCGCTCATAGGCGTCGATTCTGCTGGCCCTGCCAGGCAGAACGAGGGTGCACAGTCTGAGCCTAAGGTCGGTGTCGTGTCGTGCGCTTCCTGAGATGTCCGGCGTTGGAGGATCGTTTTTTGACATTTTCAAAAAGGTGCGAAAGCCCGGCAGAGGTGCTAATACAATGGAGCCACGAGACGTGCATACGGAGTCTCACCAGTTCAATCCAAACAGGATTGTTCTTGACCCTATCAGACCTATCAACTATATATGTCTCAGGTCTGAGACATCCTGACACTATCCAAACAATTCGTCTTTGCCCGTGTCCGGGAGTGAGAGTTGAGCAAGGCTGCATCCGCCCGTCTGGGAGTTGGAGTAAAGCATTAACGGCAAAGCAAAGCACAATGAACCAGACATGAGCGTGTCGTTTTGCTGCAGGCAATTATATACCCACAGCTGGCAAGGTCTATCAATGTCTTGGTTTCGACAGTGTTCTGTCGGCGCGGAAGATCTGCATTGATCGATATTGGCAGTTTTCGTGTCCAGACATGACCCGGTTGTGCTCCCTTTTGACTCTGTGCCTTGCTCTGTGCCTTGCTGTTAAAAGAAACCACGAGAAACTGCGCTAGCAAACTGATGAACCCATCGTCGTTTGGAGCTTACCAGCACGAAGTGAAGTGGTACTCGTAGTCTGCGTGGTGAGAATTGAAGGATTGCAGGTGCTTCGGAAGGAACTCGAGGACCCCAAGGCAGCCCAGCCTGGACCCACAAAGTCCCAGACATCTTTAGGTTTTTCGGGTTCAGGGTTTGGGGATCGAAAGGGTTAAGGGCTCTTAAGGGACGAAAGAGCGTGCCTCCATGCATGGGCTATGTTACTACGTTGGTCTAGGCTTTGTTGCTTTGTCCTGAGCTCCAGTGGTCCAGCCCACATGAGATTTTTCTCCAACCCAGGTGTGAGCCACGCAAGGCGTATTTACAGCTGGCCGGGGACTTGACTCTGCAAGCGGCTGTTTGTGGCGACTTCGATGCTCATGGTTTATGCAAAAGTCAGGGTTTGGGGGGCCAAGGTTTGCATCTTCGTTTTTGCCACGAGCATTTTCAAGGCCTGTGTGTTCACCCGGATCCCCCTGTGCCAAGGGTAGATTCTTCTGCGCAATGCACCTCCTCAATTTCATGCGTATTCCGCACAGCTGCTCGCCAAATTTCACACAACAAGCATATTCTGTTCTGGAATGGCGGTATCGTCGCCCTTGTCACAGTTGCCGTAGCTGCTCGGGATGATTGGGTTGGGCCAACTCCTTCACTGGCTTCTGATGCTTGCCGGCCGTAGCTGCTCGGGATGATTGGGTTGGGCCAACTCCTTCACTGGCTTCTGATGCTTGCCGCCTGCACCCTCCCGAGCCAGTGAACGCGAAGGTGAAAGGTTCGAGGACGAGCATAACCAATCCACATGAACTCAAAAGGGCGAGCGAGCCCGCAGATATAAATTACACCGTGCGAGGGCACAAGCAGTCTGGTTACGCCATCCAAAGCAGCATGCACTCGCAGAGGGTCTGCGGTGCAGAAATCTGCTAGGGTCATTGGGGATTGGGGAACGAAATCACCCTGTATGTCCTCGGGTTACGTCTCAGCTGGTTCGCAAACACATGGTCGGCTGCACGATGCACCGTGGCGATGTTGTGCGAAAGGCTGTCAACAACGCGCGGCCACCATCAAAACTAAGTGCACCATCATCCACTCTGTGGACGGGTGTCCAGCAGGCCTCAGAAGCGGCCTTTGTCCATCCGCTATCAGGTGGTGTCAGGTGGCGATATGGCGAGGCTGCTGCATGCCTGTGTCATGATCTCCTGCCTGCGGAGCTGCCACCGTTGTGTGCCATGGGTAAGCGCAGACTTTGTCCAGCTTTCGTGGTAGTTCACGAACAGGCTGGCCGGCGTGCTTTTCCTCCTCCTTCGGCTTGCCCCGGAACGAGTGGGCCCTCTCAGCAGGAAGCTTCCTGGTAGCCGATGGTGCCGCCGTGATGCCGGTGACCGCCGCTGTCATGTCCTGGCCGTTGACGGTAATGGCGAGATAATCCTTGCCATCCTTGCGCTTTGCAGGAAAGGTCCAGGACGCCCCCTGCCGGCCAAACTTCTTTTGCAGCACTGATAATTTGTTGAGTGGAGTGAGGATTCGGCTTTTCGGACCAAAGGTGCGTCCGGGCATCTTTTCCACACCTCGTTCCTCTCATCCTCGGCCACATGATCCGGAACGCTCCAGCAAAGGGCAACCGAGTCCAGATCCACAAACGATGCGCTTCGCTGCATGCTCCATCCCGAACAGGCATTTCTGGATGGAAATCGCTGCCGGCAAGGACCACCGCGCACTTCACTCGCGTCTGCGGACACGTAGGCCACAACCGAACAGCAGGGCACATGTTTACCAGCCCCCGTCTCACTGCAGAAGGCAATTCCGCTATCATCTTTTCCAGCTTCCTGTCCGAAGGCTTTTGTCGCTTTGGATGCCGTGCCCAGCAAGAGTCGTCGATACGTACACCATTGCTGCCTCAGGGTTGTCGCACTCATCGAAGAGGCTACTCAGCGAATGGAAGAGAGGACCCGAACGCGGTCAAGTGTCCCCAAGGGCAAGACGAATCGGTCCCAAAGCCTAATAAGCCCCTCGCAAATCATCGCAAATCCCTGTGGCGACCAACTGCTAACACGCCTTCCTGTCGACGGTACTGCAGTCCGCTCACCTGCAAGATGGCTCATGCCGCGCTCCTGTTCCACACCTGCGGCACACATGTGGAGCGATTGAAAGGAAGCACGGGGCCCTATAGCAAACGCTCGCTCATGAGTGTCTTCTGTGCCCTACAGGAGGTAGCTACTTGTAATTTCGGGAGCAGGCAATCACAACGATGTTTTCGCATCTACACTGCCGGGTTGTCCCCGGTCTCAATTGTAGTGCTATATCTTGACATGAGCATCATCTTGGACATCCACTTGGGTTTCTTTGCTGCCGGATGCGGAGCAGAAGCCTGCAAGCGGACAAGTCTGCCACAGACCGGGGTTAGTTCGATTAGCTTCGAAAGACTGATCGCGACCTGAACGTCTTGGGAGGAGCTGCGGAACTGCACGGACTTCCTTGACCTCCTTATCAGGTGTCCTTTTCCTCAGTTGGTATCTCCGTATCCGAAACAGGGGGGTAAACACTGGCCATTGGCCAAGGCCCTGTGAGAGAGTCCGATGGGCCGTGTGCTCAGACGCCGAGCCGCTCTGCTTTGATCATGCAGACACGGTTTCTCAGATACGTCCGTGTGGGTGTTGGTGGCGGTTGTGCCAGTGCCTTACCATTGCCACTTTGCACACGTCTTCGCCACCATGTCCTAACGCAGGCTACTTGTACGTCTGTCTGCCGGACCGAGGATGGTAAACATGGCGCAGTGCTTCACAGCGAATGTTAGCCTCCCAGCGAAGTTGCATGTCGGTGGAGGCTAACCATACAAAAACCTGACAAACTGTTCGGTGAGGTTAGGGAGCGGGCAGGGTTGCCCATGAAGCTATTAGGCCTGTGTCCAACGAGACAACTACTGCCTCCCGAGAACTACCCGAGCTCAGCTCCCGCTCAATGCTTAAGCTCCCAAGCCACCGTCTGAACCGTAACAAGCACAAACCTGTCGCAGAACAGTAGGCCATTGCAAAGACTCTGTTCCTGCTGTATCCCGAAAGCCTTGCCAGAAAACCAGTCTTTGCTTTGCTTGCAACACTCCAAGATGTTCAAAGCTGCTTGATCGTGTTAGTTGTTCCATGCCGACTTCATAATGTGTGTCCGGGTGGGTGGAAGTGACTAAATGAATTTGTTGTTCTGCTCGAAGAGTAGCCACTCAGGGCCTATCTCTTAGCCTCGAAGTCAACATCGTCTGCCTCTCTCATGTTATCTCAAGTCTGCACGACGAGAGTCGCGTACCGTTGCATGGGAATGAGGTGAGCCACCTTCGAGTAGTTTTAGGGTGCAGACCTCAGCTATGCTAACGAGCGATTGCTGTGCCAGATTGCTGAGGAAATCGTAGATTTCGCGGGCAACATGATCAAACAAAGATGAAAGACTGAGCTGCAAGCTTCATCCAAGTCATTTGGATGTGAGCGCCAACAGGCATAGGCCTCATCAACAGCTGAGGCCTCTTTTTTTCAGCTGGTCAGCCCGGCGCAAACTTTTGCTTTGACTGAGGATCGGCTCTTTAAGCTTGCGCGGTTGTACCGCTGCGAGCAGAAGGATCACTTGTGGTCATTGGGGCGACACTGACCTGTGGCAAGAATGCGAGCAGGTGTTTTTGAAGTTGCAAGTCTTTGAGAATATGACACCTGATGAAGTTGGCAGGTCCATGACAGGTTTGTGGAAGTTGGTCTGCGTCATCTTTGCGTCCCACTCAGTTGCAGAGTGTCCGTCTGACCGTCGAGCGCCACGTTCAGCGGCCAGCGTCCGAAGCCCACACCATAAACACAAGTCAGGAGGTCGGGTCTTGCATGGGGCCACATGATTCATTGCCGGACAGTTGTTTCTGGATGGGCAGTTGAAGCCAGTTCGTGGGTTGAGAGACTACTCGAACACTGTGGCAGCTTTGTTATCGCACTTGCCGGCTGTTCAAAGATAGGAAGCAGCCTTGTTTCTTGTGGCCCCGTCGTTCTTTTTGTTGGGGCGCTTCCCAGGGTTTGCGTGCGATGATTGATTCCCCTCAAGGATTGGGGTCATGCTAGTTGGGCAACTGCTGCATTCATGGTGGGGGTTCTCCGAGGTTGCTCTTCCTCGCATCGTCCTCTGCTTGCTGCTGCTGAAGGTTGCCTCGGGCTTCATCGCACGTTCTACCGAGGAGATCAGCCAGAACTAGAAGGTTTGCAGCCATGGGTTTGAACACACGTGGTTGCCACCAGCTCTTGCACTCGCCCTTTCACTTTCGAGGTCCTGCACTCGCCCCGCACTTCTGTATAATGTATACTGTACAGCCTTTAGGGTCTATTTGACGCATCCTTTTGAATATTATCAGTATGTAGAATTGAAACAATTAAGATAATTGAAATAACAAAAACATAAGCTTATTTCGATTATTTTAACTATTTCAATTATATGGGTCCCGAATACGTGTCTTGCACGCAGTGCAAATAATAACAACCAAGTGTTTGCCGGAGGCAGGGTTCTCATGATTGGTCGTACCGAGCTGTGGCTCGAAAGGTCTTGGGACCAGGTAGGGGTCTTCCCCCCTGAGCCCAGGTACAGACCTGTTTCTCGAGCCATGGCTGACTTGCCGACGGCGGCCGAGCTTGCTGGTATCACTACGATCGCCCAGGCTTTGACCTGGGTAGGTCTGGATGCCGCAGCTTGGGCTGCCGTGGACAGCGCTTTGGGCACTGTTCCCAGATTGGCAATCTTGGGTAACATCCCGGCGGATGCGCTGAGGCTTGTCACGCCCGAGCAAAGCACCGCCGGGCACTCGGGGCCTTACTGTGGTCGAGTCGACGCAGGTGGGGGTTCTGTGGAGAGTGGCGAGACAGAAGCAGGGGAAAGCCAGATGCGGAGCTGTTCCTTACCTTGCCTCCCTCCCCTTTGTTAGGGGGTGCGGGTGGAGGCGGTGGTGGGGTGGCCCCTCCGGTTGCTGCTGGACCCAGCCAAGCACAAGATAAAGGTGAGTACCGTCCTGGATTCAAGCAGACGGAGATCGATGGCTACTTCAAGGTCCTGCAGAAGTACAAGGGAGGACCATTGAGGCCGGAAACCGAACCGTCGCCAGAACAGGCTTCGGCCTCAAAGGTTCGGCTGGTGGACTTGGATATGTCCCCGTATGCCGACTTTGCTTTGTTCGTGGGGTTCCAGCACAGGTTCGCAAAGAGCCTCAAGTTCAAGAACCATAGCCTCCAGCCGGACGGATCGTTCAGGACAGTGGAAGTGCCGGGACCCCTCAACTATGATTCGTGGCTGGCCTCGTGGAGTGTCTTCGAGAACGCCCTCCTCATGTTCGAGGTGCTGGACGGCACGGGTGCGAGGATGCCTATGGTGACGCAAAGCACCCTGGATCTGTATCGGGATCGGTTCCCTGAGCTGGTCGTCCGCTACCCCAGGTGCGGCACCTGCTGGTGGTGGTGGTGGTGGAGGGGAAGGCGGGAGGAACGGGTGAGGTTCACTGACAACGGCTTTGGGTTTGGGGACGGCTCGTGTGTCGGCCCTCAAGATTAAGTCGAAGAAGTGACGGGGCCATGAGGCCCCCCTTCCCCCCCCCGGCGCCCTTAGGCACGAGCAAGAGGGCACTGGTGAAAATCCCGAGAATACGCCGCTACCCGTTCCTACGTGTGAAAGGAGGAGGACCCGGACTACGGCGAGGATACGCTCGGCCAGGCTCGTCGACACGAAGGCGTCGTAGGTTTATGGTTGGTGAAGGTGACGGGCCCACCCCACACGTGGGCTTCGGCCTGTGGATGACGCTGGGCCAAAATTGGGCTCGCCGGAAAGTTCCGGAAGGGCCCATGTTGCCGCGTTTGTTTTCGCCCATGATGAAGCATGGCGCGGAGCTGCCTGAATCAAGAAGAAAAAGGCTGGGGAGCCCCTGCTCTCGCCCGTTCCCTCTAAGGTTGGGGCGCGGCTTCAGGTGAGGGTTTCAGGTCGGCCCCCTTTGTTGGTGAGGCTCCCTTCGACTCCCTTCTAAGGGTAGGGGCGAAGGTTCCCGATTCCTGGAACCCCTCCCCGTACAAAGGTACTGGAAAGGAGGATTTGAAAGAAGAAAGAAAGAAGTAGGAGGAAAGGAGAAAGAAAGGCGGGCCCCCCAGGAAAACTTAAAACTCGGCTGGGGGGCCGCCGAAGTCAGAAGGCTAGGGAGTAGTAAGTCCTGACCCCGGCCCCCGGAAGGGATCTTGGGTCAGGCGACCGTTCGAGCAGGAGGCCAGCCGCTTCGAAGGAAAAGTGCTTGTGTGTGCCAGGGCGGACGGGTGGGGTCACGCAAACGCGACTGGTTGTTGTGTCTATGTCTTGCACGCAGTGCAAAGTCTTACAACCAAGTGTTTGCCGGAGGCAGGGTTCTCATGCTTGGTCGTACCGAGCTGTGGCTCGAGAGGTAGGGGTCTTCCCCCCTGGGCTCATGACCTCGGGTACAGACCTGTTTCTCCCACCCGGCAATTTTACTTGGGAAATCCACTTGTGGGCCCCATTGAGGTGGACCAAAGTTGGGATAGACCCACTGATTTCAGCATGCAGTTTCCTCCGTGTGCCAGTTCCCCCGAGCGGGTTACGCTACAGAGGTTGCCATGGAAAATCCCCGCACGACTCCACTCGAGAGCTTGTGTTCGGTGGGTACGCACGCGTGCTTGCCAGGGTTCTAGTGCGTGGATTTCCCCGTACGGGTATCGCCACATATTCCCGCAGAGGCGAGAGATGCTGGCAAGCTAGGATACACTCACAAAGGTGAGAACTCCTGGTGAGGCCAGGATACACTCGCACCCATGACGGCGAGGTATTCCAATGGCAGGCCCTCGTGCAGAGGCCGCACCGAGAAAGGAATCCCAGTTCGTCTGCAGGTAGACTTTCTCTCAAGTGATACGGTTTCAGGTCGGCCCCCTTTGTTGGTAAGGTTTCCTTCGGCCCCCCTTGTAAGGGTAGGGGCGGGTTCCCGATTTCTGGAACCCCACCGTACTAAGGTATTGGAAAGGAGGATTTGAAAGAAGAAAGAAAGAAGTAGGAGGAAAGGAGAAAGGAAGGCGGGCAAACCTCGGCTGGGGGGCCGCGGGCACGCAAACGCGACTGGTTGTTTTAAAATAATTGAAATCCTTGCTAACTTTGCTTAGCCGGGCCCCTTTGATTGAAATAATTGAAATCCCGTTCCTTTCGCTCTTTGGGGATAGGTCACCCCCCATTTCAATAAAATACATTCAAACAGTTGAAATCGGGCCTGATTGAATTATTTCAATTATTTCTGGCCCCAAATAATTGAAATAATTGAAATCTGCCTTATTTCAATTATTTCAATTATTTTGGTTATTTCAACTATTGAACTGGAGGGGAAATAATTGAAATCAGTGCTAACTTCGCTTAGCCCCAGCCCACCCCCCCAATTCAATAATTGAAACAATTGAAACAAGGCAGATTTGAGTTATTTCAATTATTGCGGGTACCAATAGCCCTGATTTCACTTGTTTGAATTATTGCAATTATTGAAAGGGGGGGTGACCTACCCCCCCAAGAGCGAAATGAACGTGATTTGAAATTTTTCAATTATTTCAATTATTCGGATCCGGAAATAATGGAAATAATTGAAATCCTTGCTAATATCGCTTAGCCCCAGCCCACCACCAGGGTTCAATAATTGAAATAATTGAACTAAGGCCGATATCACTTATTTCAATTATTTCAATTATTCGGGACCCGAAATAATTGAAGTAATTGAAATAGGCCCGATTTCAATTATTTCAATTATTGAAATGGGGGGATTTACCCTCCCAACAGCCAGAGGAACGGGATTTCAATTATTTCGCTTACAATTATTTCAATTATTGAAATGGGGCGGGACCTGGCTCGGGCGGGGAGTGGTGCTGGGAGCTAAGGGCTGGGGGTGGGCCCCCCCCCCCCTCCCTCCCATCCCTCCCTATTCCCTCCCCTTTCCTCCCAACACTTCCACCCCTTCCCCCACTCATTGCGCTCCTCACGTTCGTAGGATTCATCGTCAGCATGGCCTGTATAGCTATGTCAGCTTGATGGTGTACTTCTTAATGTCGCATATCAAAATTGTGTGTGTGTATTTTGTGTCCGCTATCGTGTTATATGAGTATGACCACTGGTCACAGACAACATCTCGCTGGAGAATCGCCTCAACAACTTCGACTGCGACTTCGAACGCAGGCGAGGCCGTTGTGGAGGCGATTCTCTTGTGAGATGTTGTCTGTGATCAGTGGTCATACTCATATAACACGATATGGGACATAGAATACACACACACACAGTTTTGATATGCGACATTAAGAAGTACACATTTTTTTTTATTTGGGGTTGTGAAATATTTAAAATAATGAATCTGGGCTGATTCTACTTATTTTGATGATTTTGATTATTTTTATTATTTGAAACCCCGTGGTCCTGGGTTCCACAGCTAACAAAGCAGTCCTTTATTGGGGTTTGCAAAATTTTCAACATAATTAAGATACTTTTTCTCCTGGGTGGTCCAAACCCATGACCACGGGATTTCAAATAAGAAAATACGTAAAATATTCGAAATAATTAAAATCGGCCGATTTTGTTTGTTTTTTCAATTTGGGGTTTTCGTAAATAAAAATAATTAAAGTAGTTAATTAAAATGGGCTGATTTTAATTATAATTGCTTCAAATTTAAAATCCCGAGGTCCAGTCGATTTTAATTATTTCAATTATGTTCTTTATTGGGGTTTAAGATTTTTTAAATAACTAACATACCTTTTCTTCTGGGTGGTCCAAACCCAGGACCACGGGATTTTACATAATTAAAATATTTAAAATATAAAACATAATTGACATAGTTGAAACCGGCCGATTTTGGTTTTTGTGTTTTATGTGGGGTTGGAAAAGTATTAACATAATTAAAATGGGTTGATTTTAAATAGTTTAGTTATTTTAATGATCTTTATTATTTGAAATCCCGTGGTCCTGGGTTCCACAGCTAAAAAAGCAGTCGATGTTGCTAATTTTAATTATTTTCTTTTTCGGTGTTTGAAAAATCATGAGAACAATGCAAATATTCTAATATGTTTTTATTTTTTTAATTATTTCAAATTGTTTCAGTCTGTAAGGAGTCGCTAAATAGACCTTAAAGGTGTCTCTCTCAGAGGTGTGTATATATATATATATGTCCCCCACCCTTCCCCCCCCCCAATGGTATCCCCCCCCCAAATACAAGAGCCTGAGCCTTGGAGGCTTGGAGGACTCCCGCTACAGGTGCGCCGCACAGCGTATTGTACCCAGCTTGGCCCGCCCGCGACGCACCCGCGTAATTTCCACAGTAAGGATAGGGTTTCGAGGCAAAACAGAGTAACATTATTCCTATTCCGAAGGCCTCCAAGCAGGGCTTCCTGCGAGCAGTACGCAACATGTTCTAGGCAGCACTCAGCAAGATTATTCGTGTGCCAAAATTTCCAAGCAAGGCTATGTAAAATTCCTTAGAAAAAGGTTCCAGGCAATACTTCGTAACACTACAGGCGAGCATGTGCGGAGAATGCCATACATACACAGACACGCGGTGTGTGTGTGTGTGTGTGTGTGTGTGTGTGTGTCTCAGAGCAAAAGGGAAAACCATCCTGTTCCACAGGAGGGGGTTCGGGAGATAGAATGGCCATACATTCAAAAAGACATAGCAACCGGAGACGAAGTTCGCAGCAGCAGCATACCGCACACCAAAGAATAGAAGGGAGGCTTTCAGGAGAGCATGTGCGGAGAATGCCATACATACACACACACACACACGTGGGGTTGTGTGTGTGTATGTGTCTCAGAGCAAAAAGGGAAAACCATCCTGTTCCAAAGGAGGGGGGGGAGATAGAATGGCCATACATTCAGAAAGACATGGTGTGTGTGTGTGTCTCAGAGCAAAACGGAAAACTATCCTGTTCCACAGGGGGGGGGGTTGGAACATAGGGCAAACCATCCTGTTCCACAGGGGGGGGGAAATAGACAAGGCAAACTATGCTGTTCCACAGAAGGGGGGCGGGGAGAATACACGTCGATTACTTATTCAAATATATCAAAGTACCTAACAGGACACCATAGGGGGGGGGAGGGGGGGGAGGGGGGGGGCCCGCCGGGGCGCAACCATATATGGTGCATCGCTGCTAGGCCCCCCCCACCCCATGGTATCCCCCTCTCCTCCCCTGTGGTTCCCTGTGGTGTGGGTTCACCCCCTGCCCCTCCCCTCTGTGGTTGGGCGTCCGGTTGCCAAGGGTTTGGAGCTTAGGATGTGATACAGTTCCACTGAACTCCGACCTGCCCTGAGTGCCAAAGCCAATGATAATGATGACTGTTATGGTGATGATGTTGACGAAGATGGTGGTCACGATTCCCATCCGCACCCTACTCCGTTTCCTTGCCCAAGAGTCTCGAATGAGAATTATTCAAACACGTGGTCAAGCTTACTTTGAATCCTCCCAGCCGAAACTTGGCTTGGCATGGCAACGGTCGATACAGTTTTCGCCACCCGGGCATACCGCAGGGAACGTCGATGGATACGCAGATGACCTGTGACTGTTTGCTGGGGCGAGAGGCCTGGCTTGGGGGAAGGCCAGGCGGGGGGGCGGGGGCATACCATGGGGGGTGGGGGGGGGGGGGGCCTGCGACGCGGCCCCTGTGGTGTGAGTTCTTCCCTGCCCCTCCCCCCTGTGGCGGTCGGCTGCGCCCCCTTCCATGGCTGTTGCTGGTTGGGTGTCCGGTTGCTACTTAGGATGTGATACAGTTCCACTGAACTCTGACCTGCCCTGCGCTCCAAAGAAAATTATAGTGATGAGTATTGTGTCATGATGACGAAGATTGTAGTCATGATCCCCCTCCGCATCCCTCCGCACTCTCCTCCGGTCCCTTGCTCAAGAGCCCCGAATGAACATCATTCAAGCACGTGCTCAAGCTTATTTTTAACGACCCCCACCGAAACTTGGCTTGGAATGACAACGGTCGATACAGTTTGCGCAAGAACACTACAAGCCAAACACGATATTTTCAACTAAATAAAGCAATGAACATGCGTTGCCGAAGCCCAGAGCACCATAAGAGCAGGGGTACCACCAACAGCCACACTGGGAATTCTGCACAACATCATCGCCTTCGTTCTCATCTGTGTGTCGAAAGGGAGGGAAGGGGAAGGGGTCCTGTGTTTCCCTGTGTTGTGGGTTATCCTGTGCTTCCATGTGTTGTGGGCTATCCCTCCCGGCGCCTGGCTTGGGGGGGTACCGTGGGGAATGTCGACAGTTACGTGGATGACGTGAGACTGTGCTGGGACGAGAGGCATGGCTTGTGGGGGGGGGTGGGGGCATACCATGGGGGGTGGGGGGGGCCTGCGACGCGGCGACGCGGCACCATATATATGGGTGGTTGTCAAAATTAGGGTCCCTTTTTGGGTACCCTAAGTATTAGGTGGCGTACTATATCAGGGACCCAAAAAGGGACCACAATTTTGACAACCACCCATATATATATATATATATGTACATATGTATATATGTATATATGTATACATGTATAGGTTTAACTGTCTTTTGATTTAAAACAAAATTTTGAGATGTATCAGCCTGCAGTTCGAGCGCAGACTCTAGAAAGCGCTTGTGGCTCCAACCAGGAATCCATGGTCATCGACACGGTTGCAGCCGCTTGGGCGGTGAGAGCACATGAAGCCAGATTCCCATGTGTGCGGAAGGAACAATGTACTTCCGAGGCTTTGTTCATCAGTGATATTGGAACCTTCATGTTCCAGCATTGCTGGCATTCTTCCCATCGGCACAGTGCGGCCATGCTGCTTCGTGGCTGTTCAGGAGTTGATGCTTCTTCTGATTTGATTGTTGGCACGTTGGTCAGCCCCTGCATGCCAGTGCCTTCACCACGAACAGCGTCAAGAACAATCTACGAAGGACGTGCATTAGCTTTGAAGAGCTGGTGTGCCGTCCATGCCTTGCGTAACTTTCATAGTTCAAACAATGTCATAGTTTACCAGCGGGTGATCCAGAACGGTAACTGAACAGGATGCCCCCGGTGGAGTTTACATCGAACAACTGCGCCGGGGCCCGATGGCCTGGAAAGGCTTCTGCCCAACAGCAGTCAGCACATCTCAGCACTCAGCAACCCTTTCGACCTACTGCTTCGAGTCCTCGAGGCTAGACTCCTTTCGTTCTTTTTGGTGAACTTTGTCTTGCCGGCGTGCACCTCAGATGTGCCTCTTTGCCAAAATGCTCTTCGGTTCCCGAGCTGAGAGTTTGTCTTGGCGACGCAGTTCTTGTCAGATCATCACGGTCGGGCTTTCCGTCGCGATGGTTTGGTACCTCAGGCGCGGAAGGCTTCGAGCAACCCGGCTCCCGCAGCTGCAGTTAGCCCATCGAGGTCGCACTGTGGACCAGACCAAGACTTCACTTCTGCCTTGCGCTCCAGTCTCAGATAGAGCCCAAATTTGCCGCAGTACTCAACGTTCGGCTCCGATCTTGAACGCCTCCAAGGAAGCAGCTGGGACTCAAGCGACATCTTGGCCGTCGCAGTATTCACTTCCTAACTAATTCCATTTTCCCGACTGGCAGCCACCCGACGCTGTCACACCAGGCGATGTACAGAGACCAAAGCCCAAACGAATAGCTGGTTGGCGGTGGTCAATGTGTGCTTGGACAACATGCAACAAATGTGAAAGACTCCCTTCTTTGCGACCTCACATGAAGGCTGCCTGAGAGGGTCGAGGGCTCCTGCACCTTGATTTGGAGGCGCAAAAGCGTTGATTATGCTGAAAGGATTTAGGCGCAACATCTGCTCTTGCGCCAGACTTTCTGCGGCAGGGTTGTGTGCTGTGCTCTGTGTGCTGGGCATGCCCGAGCGTTCTCAGCTTGTAGCTGGTATAAGCTCCCAGGGCTGCCTGAAGCTCTGAGGTCGCTTGGAAGATTACGAAGTTGCTGGAGCATGCAAAGTTTCAGAATCTCCATGTCATCTGAACATTGTCAGGTGATGACGGCGGCACGGCGATCTGCTGCTTGGCCACAGATGGCTGTTTGATGGCTTGAATCGGGTTTCGCTTCGGTGGATACTTAGAAGTCATGCATGAAGCGGTAAGTATGATACCTCGAGTTTCCTGGTGCCACTGCGACAGGCCTGGGCATTGCGTGCGGCATGCCTTGCTGCTGTTGGGGTGGCCACCCTGATGCTGGCAGAGGTTCGGCTGTGAATGCGGTGGGTCAATTTTCTGGCTTTTCTGTGCAGACCGCTTTCGTGGCTCCATTGCCAACTGTCAGCGACGCCCAGAGCAGAACACTGGCAGGTGTGGCAGGGCAGTGGAAATGCGTTGACACTGGGGGTTTCAGGGCGTCCAGTCTCCCGGGATTCACAGCACAAGGCCTCGGTTCTTCCTATGCATCATTGCGAGGAAGCCGCAGTTGCACTCTCAGTCTGGATCCATTAAGATTTTCTGCATGTGAGTTCTGAAGCTTTCGTCGCCTTGTGGCTGTAGACTCGGCAGCATGAGGCTTCGCCCCTCGAACGCCTCTCAAAGCCGAAGAGGCGCTGGTGTGTTGCCCTTATTCACACAGCTGGAGGCTTCATTTAGGGCTTAGGGTTTTGGGTCAGTTTCTTTTTGTTTCCGTAACTGGGGCGTAGAGTTTGGAGAGCTGCAGGCTGTCGAAGCTGGCGAGGCCGCGACCCTTTCAGGTTTCTCTTGTCTTCTTCTTAGAGCTGGATTTGCCAGAAATGGGTTTGAAGTTGAGGAGCATCCCTGCAAATCTGGAACTTTTGCAGATCATTGCGCCAGGGCAAGAAAACGATTGACTGGGTGCTGTTGGCTTACTTCGCTCTCTGGTATTTGGGGAACTATTACTACAACATCACCAACAAGTGCGGAGCCCTGCACGATTCCAGGTCTGTTTCCCTTTCCCTTGCCCGAGTGATGTTCGACACTGTCCCGTTCGATCCAGGCTGGCCTTGAAGGCAGCAGGCGGCGCCAAGGGCTTCCCGATGACGATTGCGACGCTTCAGGCAGAGAAGGGGTCTGGACATCCCATTGACCCTCAAGCATCCCAGTCGATGCACCATCCTAGTAGCACGAGTCGCGAGACCTTTGTAACACTATGTATTCGTGCTCTGACTCCGCAGCTTGGTGTGGGCTGTCTATGGGCCCTTCTCCTCTGGGGCTATCCGGACACGCGGAAGCTTCCTGAGATCACGGCGGAGTGCGGCCGGCTCCGTTATGTTGTGGAATTCAAGTCTAAACAGATTGAGTCAAGAATATTGAGCCATGCAGCTCGATGGATTTTGGGTCTTGTGACCCGCCTGTCTTGCCAAAGCCTTGATGCGCGGGGCAGCATGGTGCAGGTGTGTACCTTGCTAGCTCACGGAAGCAATGGGTCACGCCCACATGAGCCGTTATGTTGTTTTCTCGCTAAAAGCCATTGTTTCCAGGCATTCATGCAAGGGAGTGCAGCACATGCAAGTGGGGAGCGAGACCTCCTCAGTAAAGATCCGGACAGTGAGCCAGCCACGTTGTGGCATCAAGATTAGCAGATTAGCAGTTACCAAACGGGTTGTGCAGGACAGGACAGGGATGCAGTTCAGATGATCAAGACACAGCAGGATAGTCTTCAGCAAATCCGGGTGAATCTATGCCATGAGCGGATCAACATGGAGACCTTTGCATAGCACATGTGATTCATGTCGTTTCAGCCTGGTGACAAGTACGCTCTTGAAACCCGTGCATCCAGTGCACATGATCAGTCACCGTCACCCCGCCGCCTTTTGGCACTTTCAACAAATCGGAGCCCTTGGATCAACTCCGCAGGTTTCGCACTCGAGCTCGCTGGAAAAACAACAGCTGATAATCAGCAGGGTTGTTCGTCAAAACGTCGACGGCATGCAGCACCAACAACAAGCTGCCACCATTCAGGTAAATATAGGTGGGCAGCTCACACACAGCAGGAGCTGTGGCATTAACACCGCTCAGGCATATTCGGGGGGCTTTGAATGAATGCGCTGAAACTGTAGTGTTGTTAGCTCATGGAAGAAAGGGGTACTGCGAACATGACATGTCATGCTGTTTTTTGTTACTTTGAGAGCAATACATCGTTTCCAAATGTTTCCAAGCATACATGCCTGGGACCTGAGAGTGTGGCCTGTGCATACCAATGCACACAACGAAACTGTGGATGCTGGCACCAAGCAGGGTCAGTCCTGTGTCCCTGCAGAAAAGGGATGGACCCACTGCGGCATCCAGGCTTGACAGTGGGCCGCTTGCGGCACATCGTCTCGCAGTGTTTCAGGGCTCCAGCAAGCACGTTTGCAGCAATCTGTCATCATGAGCCACATCACAGTCACGTATTGCAGCTTCATTCGAGTTGTAGCAGCTCATCAGTCAGTGCATCAGCAAAGTCCAAGTGTGTTTCAAGTCTTGTTTCTGCCTGCTAGATCTCGGTAGGATTACGAACGTCCCATTGACGGCATGTTTGTATTTATACATGTATATATATATATATATGTATATATATATATATTTATATATATATATTCATACACATACCGAAAAGAAACGCTGGAAATACGTACGTGTGTGTGTGTGTGTGCGTGCCTCTGTGTGTGTGTGTGTGTGTGCGTGCGTGTGATGCTCGTGAGACCTCAGACTGAAATGAGCAGTCTTAGCATGGCAGGGACTATACCAAGACCCTGTTGGTTGGGCTTACTTCGGCAGGTGCTGGGCTTGGCATGCGTTCTTGAACTTAACGTAGTGCATGTGTTTGGTGTAGCACGGTAGAAACATGCTTTTCGAGGTGCTCACGCCGCTTCGGTTTTTGCGCTCAGTGCGGGAGCTGTATCCTTCGGTCAGATTGTGAAGGCCCTTTCCATGTTAATCGCGGGGCAACTTGTTCAATTTCAATTGTCACAAGAGTTGTCCATGATAATTTAGTCGAGCATGTGGGGCAGAGATCGTGATGTGCATTTTCTGTTTCTTGTGCTCCTCCTTGCGTGCCCACGGGCAACCATCAAGCGCAAAACGTTTTCGGAGCCTCGGCGGCCCACACGTCTGGAGGCAGCGGAGCCGGCCTTCGCCGCGCTGATCGGCACCATGTTCTACTCATCGTCGGGACCCCAGGGGGCGTCGCAGATGATCTCAGGTGGCCTCAGGGCATCTACGAATCCAAGCACGCCGATGATTCCCAAAGTTTGCGTCGTTGTTCCCTTTGCTCAGGAAGGTGAGTCTTGGAAAATGGCTATGTCTGATCCCCGTCATCGGCGGCGTTGCGGGAATCTCAGCCGAAGCGGGCCTTCCCTGCTGCCTGTCACTCGGCCTTCGAGGTCTTGGCTTCGCTCGCAGAGCTGGACTTTGCCTGGGCGGCCCTCATTACGGCTGCGATGGCCAACGTCTTCGCGGCCTTCAAGGTTTCGCAATGTAGGATGCCGGTTCTCGGTTCGCTGACATCCCGACAATTAATTACTCCCCTGGCTTCGTCCCCGCACCCACTCCGTGCCAAATCCAGAGCCGGGGTGCAGGACTGAAAGTGTGCCGTACGGGGAGGCGGAAGCAGAATAGCAAAGCAATAACCAGAAGTTCTCAGCTTTGCATTCACCCAAACTTTCCAGCCAGTGCTTGCGGAAAGTTCGAAGAGAAATATCCAGACCCTCGAGAGAGACACACGGAGACTCGAACAGCGCTCTGAGCGGAAATGCCCTTTGGGTCCGATTGGCGCAGAGTTGCCATTGCTCAGAATAGTAGTCTAAATTTTGGCCAAGTTTGCACCAAATCAAATTAGCAAGGCATGCTCGAGTGGCCCTCAAAACCGAAGATTCCACCCGACAGACGATGTCGTTAAGCCAAATGTTGTGACTAATGCCGCTCAACAGAGAGTCGTCCGAGAGTCGTTTTGGGAGACGCCCCAGAAAGCCCAAATCGCGAGAGGCCAGAAGAGACCTTCGTTCTCATCACAGAATGGTGCGCAGCTAACGTAAGAGCTGGCCCAGGCAGAACTTGCGAAGACGGACAGACATGTCAATCTGTTGCCGGACCAGTCGTTGGAAAGCGAACTCCGAAATCATTCAACAACATAACCGCCAACTCCACACTAGAAGCCCGAAACCAGGGCCCACCTGCTTCATCGTGTACCAAGAGGAGTGAAACAGATCCTCCAAACAACTAAATGGAAAGGGTTGCTCAGTGAGCGCTTGCCCCTAGCCGACGGGCAAAGCGGGCAGGAGGTTTGCGTTGATTCACTTGGAGGTGCTTTGACGGCGCTTTGAGCTCGAGTTCGAAAATTGCGCTGCTATTTTGTAGTCACGTCTCCAGTTCTTGCCGTCTGTTCCAAATTGGTAACGGAGCAGGTAGGTCGTCATTGCGTGATTTTCCCCTATAGGGTGGTATGCCAGGAACCTCTATCGGGTAGTTTAGTGAGCCATGTCAGTGGAAAGACCATGGTACATAGCCCCCTCGACCAGTATATCAGTTTATATGGGGGGGTGTGTCGTCCAGGATTATCCTCTTCATTATTCGGGGCTTGGGGATGTGGGGGGGGGCCAATCAGGAGTATGAAACCCTCCCCCACATGGTTGTCGTTTTCCTCTGCTGCAAGCATTTTCCGCCATGCAAGCATATCCTGAAAACCACTTCGGGAGCACTGTCAAAGTGCAAGCCTCTGGGCCTTTTCACAGTGCCCAACCCGAAGACGGACCTGGATCCCCGCCTCGGTCTCCGTGTAGAGGCCCGGCTCGGCCCCTGCCCCGCAAGAGGCTGTGCCAGCACAAAAAGGGTGGGGTTACTGCAAGCTTCTGCTACGAAACACACAGGGTCCCGAGACTCCCCCCCTCAAGTATCTTAAAAACCACTGTGCAACCACTGTCACAGTGCAAGCCTCTGGGCCCTGTCACAGTGCCCAACCCGAAGACAGGACCTTGGATTCCGCCTCGGTCGCCCTGTCGAGGCCGCAAGAGGCGGTACCAGTTTTAAAAAAGAAGAAAAGGGTGGGGGCACTCCAAGCGACATCACCGTCACAGTGCCAGTCTGGGCCTTCGACAGGACATGGACGGTAGCCGTGAAAGAAAAGAGAGAGAGAGAGAGAGAGAAGCAATTTTTGCTCAAGTCATCAGCCTCGGCAGGCCCTTCGAGGCCGCAGAGGGTAATCACTGCGGGCTTGGGGGTGGACGTGGCCACACGCCAATGCGGGAGCCCGAGAAGAAGGAGGAGGAGCCTGAGAAGCAGACCGCTACGAAACGACCGGCGGCACAGCCCAAGGCAACTCGAAGTCAGAGGCGGCGCCCAAGAAGCAGGAGGACCCCAAGACCAGGGCGGGGCCCAGCAAGAAAGACTCACCACTAAAAGACAACAGCGGCAGCTCTACCTCCTCTCCCAGCAACCGGCGACCTGGAAACAAATGCAAGACCAGGCAAGTCACCGGCAGCCCCGAAGCTCACCAAGTACATCCCGCATGACACTGGGGAACCAGAATCAGATGCAGCTTTCTGGAACATCATGGACTTTGGGGAGGACAGGGCACCCACGGTCGCAGATACCAAAAGCAGTCAAGCTCGACACAGTCCGGCTCGGAACGGGCGCCAAAGTTGAAGGGCCTTGACCCCTTCAGTGCGGGGGCCGCCCCAGTGGCATCCGGCACCTCGTCCTCTTCGGCATCCTCGTCAACACAGAGGAGTGCGACCAGAAGGGCCACTTGCAAAGGGCGCCCACCCCAAAGGCACCGGCTTCAAAGAAGGTCGAAGACACAGTGGAGCAACCCGCGGCACACAGATCCTGGAACTCGGAACCAGTCACACCGCCCTGTAAAGGAGCGGGTTCCAGGGCACACCAAGGTAGCTGAACCGCCACGACCACCACGCGCCCGTGGAGCACCAGCAGCACAAACGAGGACTGTTGAGCGAGACACGGCAGCTCCCAAGCAGGGGCTAGCACAGAAAGTGATCCAGATGGGCATCAAGCTCCACCGCAAGAAGCCTAGGAAGTAGAGGCACCCGCCCAACGAGGACGGCGGTTACACAGTTTTGAGGTGTTATTACCATTGCAAACACCGGGAAAGCCCGGATCCGTGCACCACCCTTCTGCAGCTGGTGAGCAAACAACACGCGTCTTTCTCAAACCACCTAACCTTCTTTTAATTTGATTTGTGCTGAGGGGCACCTGCTCGACCTTCTTCACACCACAGAATGGAGTGCCAGTAGCATGCATAAGACCTGCATGGCCGATAATTCAGGCATGTTTTTCCGATCTTGCGCACACCCCTGTTTGCAACAGTCCTAAAGACTTCGGGACACTCACCGGTGCCAGCAAACAGACTCCCCACACCGGGGAATATATGTTCTGGGGCTCCCTATGCTATGCAGCCGAGCCCATCCCTTGAAAATCAGGCATGGGGTTGCTCTCGCGAGCGGGCCACACGGACTGCCTGTGGCTCTTACCCCAGAGCAAACCAAATCAAAGAGAGAGAGCGCAAAATTCAACAGTACAAATACAAATCAGTCCTAGCAGGACACCAGGATCAATCACTTTCCCCAGTCACACAGATGCAGACATTCCTTTGTGTTGTGAAGCCTTGATCCAGTCTTGAGCCAATGCCATTCGGCATCGTAGCATTCATGCTACATTCGATTGAATCCGAGAACTTCATTCTCAGAAAGCCTCTGAAGAAGTCCAATCGCAGTCGCATTGGCACTCCTAAATTATGCGGCTGCTCAGTGCATTCACTTCACAGTGCCCTTCGCATTCTTGCGCAGGACAATCTCCGAACCGGGCTCGAGGGCATTCGCAGTCTCATTCTTGCTCTTGGGAGCATTCCAGGCGGTGCTCTCCTTCTCTTGTTCATTCCCATAGAGCTCCTCCCAGGTGGAACAGTCATGCTCAAGGACGGCGTTGACACATTGCGTCAGTGGGATCATTGTGTCTCCCATCAATCTCCATTCCACCGGTGGGTGGCGAACATTCCTCACTCGATGATCTCATTCAAGGACAGCAGCAGTTTGGGGCTGCGCAATCCCAGCACACGTGTGGGACAGTGGCTCCATTGCCCACTTCCAGTCGTCAGGGCCATTGCCATCCCACTCGAAAGTGCTGATGTGGTCAGTGAATTGGCGATTAAAACAAACCGCCAATTTCACTCGAGCATTGCCATTCGGTCCGCCAGCAGCCCATCTTCTCATTGCGTCAGTCTTGGTGCGGCGGAACACCACGAAGGCAATCGGTTCATCATTCTCACTCTCCTTGAAGGACGCCTTGATTCGCCCATTGCACAGTCTTCCTCAGTGAGGTCACTCAGAGCGGCGACATCAATCACCAGTTGCTCGGCAGTGATGTCCTCATACACATGCTCCGGCAATGGTTCCATTCTCACTCGCTCAAAGACTCCACTCTTCGGCATTGCAGTCGAGGGCTTAGGGGTTAGGGGCCATTGCTGCTACAGTCGGGCGAGCGAAGGAAGCAATCTACACTACAGGCAGTCGTCACTAAGGAACATTCAGCAAAACATTTCGGGGGAAACACATTGTCCTCAGTCTGCAACACATGGACCTAAAGCAGTCCCTTGCATTGCACTCTGTACATGCAATCTCACTTGCAATCACTCGGAAAACAATCGGCCACATTTCGCCAAATTTCGGCAAAACGGAAAACAATCGGAGAAAACATTTCGGAAAATTCTCTCATTCTCTCAACCCTCTCTTTCTTTGGTTTTGGGGTTTTCGGGCAACATTGAGGCGTTGCAAATGCCGCCATGACAAGACAAGTGAACATTGCACATGCAGTCATGACAAGAAGCTGCTGCATTCCCTTTACACTAGACAGCAGTGTGACATGCGCAGTCCGAACATGCAATGCATTCACCGCAGCTCACCTACACAGTCCCTCGGCGTGGACTTCAGTCCAAACGGCGTCCAGAGAAACATTGTGCGCAGTGGGTGCATTCGGGACGCGCGCGAGGGCGGGCAGGGAGGGTGTGCGCGGGCCATTCTCAGAAGGGTGGCGGTCGGGGAGGAGGAGGCCATTGAGCATTCACAACAGGAGCCACATGATCATCAGCATCATGAGCATCAGTGGTGAGATCCTTAATTATGTGCCTTCAATCGCCGCAACACATCAGTTGCAACATACTTGGTTATTAGATCCGCGGGATTCCGCGTGCCTTCAATCATCAATCTTAGCCATCCTCAGTAGGCCCATGTGCACCAGATTCTGGACATAGAGGAACCTCTGTCCCACATGTTTTGTTTTCTTTCCAGTGCCAAAGCGGGTCGCCATTGATTTACCCGCAGTGCTGTCGGTGTGTGCAATCACATTCACCTTCTTCGCTAGTTTTGATTCCAACAGCGTTGATCGGACAAACAGTGCTTCAGACACTCCTTGACCAATCGCATACAACTCAGCTTCACCAGATGACAGTGCCAGTGTTCCTTGCGTCCTGGCAGTGCTCACAACATTGCAACCAAGGACATTCGCAGTGGAACCGCTAGTGCTCTTCCGTGTTTTAGAGCATCCAGCCCAGTCGGAATCCACATAGACATTGATG